GCGCCCCCCCAGCCAGCCAGCCCCCCCGAGGACAAAATGCCGCCCTATGATGCGCAGACGCAGGCCTTGATTGACGGTGAGTGCTCACGGCCTGGGCGGGAGGGGACGCTGCCCATACCTGTTCCCCTTGCCTTCACCTGTAGGCACCCAAGAACCAGGCCTGGAGGGAGCATCTGGGGCCTGGGGAGGCCAGTACCACCCCGGCCAGCCCCAGGGCCTCTCTGCCTCCTCACCGGGTGTTGCTTACTTGTGCCACCCTCATGGGTGGGGAGCCAGTGGCGCCCCAGCAGCCCTGGCCCTGATCCCTTGGGAGCCACGAGCCTGGGCGGTGGGGTGGGCTCTGCAGCTGGCGAGACCCGCAGGGCCTTCCTGGTGCGGTCTTCCCCAGAGCAGGCCTGGGGGCGGAGAAGCAGGCGTGTCCAGCCACCCCTCCCCCTCTTCCTGGATTTGGGCAGGCGCCCCTGACCTTGCCCCCACTCTGCCCCCCCAGCTGCCCAGGAGGCCCGCAACAAGTTTGAGGAGGCCGAGCGGTCCTTGAGGGACATGGAGGAGGCCATCAGGTATGAGCGCGGGCTGGCTCCCCAGAGGTGGTGACGATAGGTGGTTGCCGAGGCAACTGCTGCTACCAGGCTGGGTGGCTCCTGAGGGGGGTCCCCAGGAGGCAGGGAGCTGGAGCCCAGCCCACACGGCCCTCCACTCATCATGGGGACGCCCAGCGCGGCCCTGAGTCGGCGTGGACACTGCTGCCCCTCACCACGTGGCCTTCCCTTGCAGGAACCTGGAGCAGGAGATTTCCTTTGACTTCGGCCCCAGCGGGGAGTTTGCCTACCTGTACAAGCAGTGCTACGAACTCACCACCAATGAGTGCGTCCCCCTTCCACCCCCCAGGGCAGGCGGGCAGGCAGGCGGGTGGACTTGGAGGGTCTGAGCCTGAGCAAGGCCACAGGGGGTGCACACCCTCCCCCACCCCGTGTGTGGGGGTGTCAGGGGGGCTGGGGTCCTGTGTGCCCCACCCACCAGTCCTGTCCTATATGACAGGTACGTCTACCGACTCTGTCCCTTCAAGCATGTCTCACAACAACCCAAGCTCGGCGGCGGCTCTCCCACCAACCTCGGGTGAGTGGGCTTAGGCGGAGCCCCCTCCCCCTTGGCACCCCCAAACCCTAGCCAGCCCACCCTCAGCACCCACTCTCCGCAGCACCTGGGGCTCGTGGGCTGGCCCCGAACACGACAAGTTCAGCTCCATGAAGTACGAACAGGGCACTGGCTGCTGGCAGGGCCCCAACCGCTCCACCACTGTGAGTGGGTGGGGGAAGGCGGGAGATGGGGTGGGCGGTGTGGGGGACCCAGGCCTGGCTGAGCCCACCCGAGCCCCACCTGCCCGCCCCGCCAGGTGCGCCTGTTGTGTGGGAAGGAGACGATGGTGACCAGCACCACAGAGCCCAGTCGCTGCGAGTACCTCATGGAGCTCATGACGCCTGCTGCCTGCCAAGAGCCACCCCCCGAGCCGCCTGCAGACAGCGACCACGATGAGCTCTAGCCCTGCCCCGCCAAGGTGGACGGGGAGTGGGTCTGCCCACCTGGACAGGGGCGGGGGGTGGGGTGCAGTGGGGTCTAAGGAAGACAGATCTGGGTTGGCACCACCTCTGCCCACTTGTGTTCCATCGTCTCTTTCTCTGGCCCCAGAACCTCAAGGCATGGAACAAGCCTCAGTGGTGCCACCTACCCGCCCATCTGGACGAAGGCCTGCCCCTCTGAGTCTTCTTGCCCTCCCCACAGGCAGGAACCGTGAGGGGCCCCCCCGCCCTGCTCTTGGGGGGTCAGGCTGGGCAAAGCATTTGCCCAGGCCTCAGTGGGCCTCCAAAATGGACTAAAGGAGTGCACCCTCCC